CGTCTACAGTAAGTAAGTTATCGAGAAAAACAATCTACCCTAACAAAAGTCTATTTTGTTAATTTATTTATGTAACCAAAATGGTATTACTTCATATAAATCTTACTTAACCTATGTCAGGACATTACTTCTTCTTTCAATTGGAGTTTGGCGCAACTGCAAAAACGAATACATGTACATCTTCTAGTTCTATTGCTAAAATGAGAGCCAGGCATGGTGGATCGATCGAACAAGGACATGTACATGTGAAACGATCAAGGGTCAAAGTTAAAAATACCACTGCGACGGGCGACGCACAACGGCAGATATGGAATTCCATAGTGAAACGTTTACTGGTTGCAAAAATGATCAGGAGAGAAATATATACATGTATTTGAGTTTTGATGTTTCCCTTTCAAAAGAGTTTTATCGACATGTCTTGAAACTTTCTTTAAAGACAGTACCTATAAATGAACAAACTACAAAAATACATGGTTTACATACAATCATGCTTGCATGTAGGGCCTATTCTCCTGATATCTCTTCGGACAGAAGCTGATGAAAACCTTTTAGCATGGTTTGGCAAACGACTCCCTCTGTAGGCAAAACGCCAGACTAGCAAGAGCCACTGCACCGCTCTGAAGTTCAGCAAACTCCTTCAAAAGCCTTGCGTATTGTATAATTGGTCAGCTGACGAGAATGTGTGACTAGAACACGAATTAATATGTCATTGGGCTGCCTTCCCTTAATACTCGATTTTCCTCTTGAGAACTCACCCAAAGAAATAAAGCAGAGAGTCCAGGGTCGGTACTGTTCTCAGTGTAATTTTTAGCCATTGTCAAATAAGTTATCTTTTGCACTTGGATCCTTTTGACACACTCAATCCAGATTTAAATGTTTTGAAAAAAATGAAAAATGTTTTTTAATCTCCAAAGCTTTTAAATGCATTAATTTATTCTGAATTTTAAAGTTTCCATCGCTATTTCTAGAACGACAATTTTTAAGCATATGCATGTACTTTTCAACCTACCCAGCAACTGGTGTTTTTTAAATCATTGTTACTGATTCGTTTTAATTACCCAAGTAAACTTAGTTTAGTCCTCGTCCCTAAAGCACAATATGAAATGGTCCTGTTGTTATCCGTCTAACACTAACAAAGGACTTGAGCCAGTCTGTGTGCATGATACAGAGTACCCCTGAAATAAAAGCTGGGCTTCAATTGAAACCGGATTAGTCCAATTTCCTTCCAAAACCTCGACGTCGCTTAGTCATTTTTGGGTTATTTATAAGTACTGATTAAAGGGAATGCAGAATAATGACCCCTGCGGTTATTTTAAGAGAGCCCTCTTGTGATTTCCCCTGCGACGTAATAATACCGTTTCATTTTGGGCCACCTTGACGAAAGTTACTGTGACAAAAGGTGGAATCCGACAGTATGTCCAGATTGAAAAAAATCTAACTTCTGAGTACCTTTAAATGTTGGGAATCGGCTTTGAGGAAGTCTGTTGATGCATATAAGGAACGCCCTCCACACTGAGACAATATGGTGAATCGCACGCCAGCCATTGTCAAGTTTCGGCGCAACGTCTCCGCTATGCAATGGTGGAAAGACCGTCTATACGGCATACCCTTCCGATCTGTATGAGTACCCACTGTCCAAGAAAAAGTTCAGCAATCCCAGACTGAGTCTTAACTTCTAGGGATTTCTAAAATGATAAAAATCTTTTTGCATGGCACCTGCGCCTTTTTTGTCCACTTTTTGTTCAGTACACCTCGAGTGACCACTTTTAACAGAGATACTGATTTTAGAGTAAATAGGTTAGGCAGAATACGACATGACACATCGGTGATATTATTCTACAATAATTACTGTAACTAGTTGAAAGTAAGATTAATTTGGGCCTACATTTCTACACTTGTCTTGTGGAGTACTGTACGCCCGTCCAAAACTTCATATTAGTCTCTTCAAACTGTCGTGACTATGGGTGGTACATGGTCACTAGGCTTTAGCTGAACATTGCTATAATGTACCTTGCGAGGCGATTTATTTTGGGTCATGATGAATGTCCCGATGAGGCCAAATTACGAGGTCACATGCTGCGGTATATCAGTTAGCCACGAGTCAGTTTTAAGCTTGAGAGCAACCGATTAATGTTGAAATACTGCATAAGTAAAATTAAGGCTAAGTACCAACGGAACGTGGGCAACATTCACACGAGCAATAATTGCATCACATAAATTGATCAGGGACAGCCCTTACTGACTTATTTCATAACGTATGATCGCAATATCCGTCTGTCTAAAATCAAGAATAGCCTCATGATGTCGCAGTGCTGCGAATGTGACACAGGGCCGGCTGATGGCAATCATGACATTGATGACATTTGCTATTTCAGAGTTTGAAGAACAGATCACATGGCGAAAATGTTCCTGACAATAAGCCTGAGAACTGAGGTCTTTAATTTCACGTGAACATTGCATAAAGACACTGTTGCTTAACCTCGTGATTCGGGGCAAGCTTTTGCTCGCTGCGGAGAGCACATCATCATACATAAACAAAAGTAAAGTCGGTTAAATTAGTTTTATTAAAATGGTCGAAATCTATTTCTTGAAAGAATTACTACACCAAAAATTCGATGTAGGAAAAGAAAAATCCAGCACATATCTCTTTGAGTAAATTATTCTTTGTAAAAAAATCGATAAAGAGTCCATAGCAGTAGATAAAATCCTGGTTCGGCACACGTTTGAAACGTTGCACCCAACGCCGAATTCGGATTTATTTATATTCGTACACGGGACAACGTGCACACTGGGGCGATGCATCTGGGACATCTTTAGTTCATCCCTTAACACTGCGAATTAACAGACCAACCTCAATTGTAAACAGCCCTTCCAGTGAAGCTTTCGAAATTATTCGGAAATTACTGTTCCCAGGTACATGTAATTACAAACTCGGCCATTGCCAGTTTTGCTTCTGTCAACAAAAGCCAAAGTTTACACTGTATATCTTTTAAAAACTTTTTTATTTACTTTATTTTACATGCTTGTAACTGGCATACAACGAAAAGAACTGTCGTACATCTTGAAATTTGGATGTTTTTCCAGTTAGTGATATATTCATCACAAAACCAGGTAAGTTTAAAAAATGATGCTCAAGCACATTATAATAACCCAATCACTAAACACAAGCCTTTCTCTTAAATTAAGTATGTACATGGAAGCAAAAGACCTGATTATATTCAGAAAACATGAATATTTAAACATTTTTACACTATACATTTTTTGAACTTTTTTACTTGAGTTATTTATACACTTTTATTGACATAAATTCAAAAGATTCCCTTAAAAAAAGTTAGTAAAATGGGAATTGTCAAATAAATTGATTACAAAAGGCGGACTTATTATTGGATAATTAAATTTCATGTGGATAGACTTCAAATGGAAAGGGCAGGCCTAAGTCCCCGGATAGTATAGGTCTGCTTTTGGTCAACAACATCCACCAACTTTTTTTTCATTCATCCACCAACTTCATATCATTATTTTTCCAAGTCGATGTCACCAGTCCAAAATTGTTATGATTGTTCTCATTCTACCAGCTTCTCAAGAGATCCTTACTCTGGTTGACACGAAATAAGCCACGCCTCCCACTGCCAGAACTACGACTATTCCTCCAATCACGACCACTGTCAGGAGCGCCCCCAGTGGCACACCAAGTCGGTTCCGGAGGATGGGTTTCTCCTTGTCCTCTGACATGGCCGCAATGTTGTTGTTGATCTTTGGCGGCGGCAAGGGCCGCACGGGATTGGGGATCAGCCGACGGCCGGCATTGTCTGGCTGCTCTCCGGCCCGCCTCGGGATGGACCCACCGAAGCCCCCGTCGCCTCGCCGGGGTGTCGTGGGGGGCAACACGGGGGGCATCGTGGCGGACTGAGGTGACGGAGGAGGACTTGGGGCTTCTGTCTCGGGACCACCACCCCCACCCGGAGTGTCCGGACCAGGAGTGAGATCGGTCCCCTGTCCGGGGTTGGGATCAACCACCGGTGGGCCCGGAGGACCGCCCCCTGCACTGCCGCCTACACTGGAACTAGACCCCACGCTACCGAGCCCTCCCTCCTCCTCCGAGCTTGATCCCGCCCCTCCCTGAGCCCATCCGAAAGTCTGGACCACGACCTCGGAGCTGTCGTCTTCCAGGCTGACAGCTCCGTAGACGCGCCTCGCGTTGGGATGTTCGTTGTCCAGGCTGAAGGGTAGTGAGTCAACCACAGGTGGCTGGACCGTAATTGCTACTTGAGAGAGACGACGGGAGTTAATCTCTTAAATCGATGCGAAAATGTTTTGAACAGGATACAATGCCCGGAGCTTGTAAGAGGAATAACAAAGTTTACTTCTGAGTATGATAAATCCCTGATCCGATAATAGTTAAGAAAACAATACGGAAAGATGTTTCAACAAGCCCCTCCCACAAACATAAAGCACAGAAATAAAATCAATTAACTAATTGTGCAAACAGCCCGGAATTGACCTAAAACGGGAATTCTATGCAAACGTCATAGATAATTTGTTGAAGTTCTACCACAAAAGGTGCTACCTAGTGTCACAATTGTGTCCTTTCTCCACCCAACCTAATCCCAATCCACAGCCCCACTCCAACCTTATTCCATGTTATAGGATATCCAGCGTTCACAGAATCTTAGAATCTTTCGATTATTTTCCCCAAGCGTCTGACAAAAATCGGTCTTTTATCTCTTTGTGCAGCTTCATGTCACAACAGCACAAACTTCAAGACCAGCACTCATTAAGATTTGGGATGTTTCCCTTAATTTTGTGCTTTATTCATCCTGTCCTCGATTTTGGCTTTATAATGAGACAGCGTTACAAGGAGTCATGACTTTTAACAAATGGAAATTCCAAAAGTAACATGCACATGAATTCTCGCACGTCAAATTTCTTTTTAAATGTCGCTTTCTAAATATCAAGAGATGCTCAACAAGTTCAGAAAGCCATCGCATTCAAAACAAAGTAAACAGTTCACCTTTGCTGCCGATCTCTTTGGATCTTTTTGTAAGAGGTAAAAGTACCACCTACACACTTTTCATTAATAATTAACACTTTTGCAAGGGTTGAAGCCACTTACCTATCACGGCGAAGCAAAGCAAACTGACTGATAACTTTGCCGCCATCTTGAAATAAACAAGACGCAGTCGCTTCGGCTAATATCTCGAATCGAATGTCTTCAAACTATCCTCGAAAGCCTATGCTGAGTATTACGGAGCTGGCCCCTTTGTCGGGCGCATAGACTTGATGCCAACTCGACACTTCCCATCAACCGTTTCGGTGGTTAAGGACGGATAAGTAGTCTGTCTCCTGGCTGCTTCTCGGGACGCAGAATACATCGGGGTCGTGATTGGCTGTTAACGACCGCGCGCCACAGCAGTCGCATCTGGGGTCGAAATACGAACTCAATTCCACGTACAAAACTGGGCCGAAGGAGCCATATCTTGTTAACAGAGTAGTTTCTCCGCCATTTCAAGTCCCGATACTACAAACTATACTTTGACCCTTTCCTGTTTCTTTCGAGTATCTTTCTGAGAAGTTCATGTTTTCGTGGGGGATCCCCCACTAAAGTCCCGAAAGTTTTAAGTTGCCAGACTTTCATGTACTGTGTCAGCTGCGGGCAGTGGCGTCAAGATTTGTCGTAGTAAAACAACGGCATGACTAGCTAACGAAACGAATGAGGGGAAGTAGGCATATTTTTACTTCGATTGAAGGGGAAGGAAACACACAACTGTTTGACCAACGAAAACTTTAGTTAATGTCTAGCTTCGTAGGCCTTTCTTCCCCTAAACAGTTGAATGCGGCAGAAACCCCCCTCTCCGCAAAGCTCATTCAGATGTATTGTAAAATCTAACAAACAATATCGCCATTAAAGATTATAACCCCGCTGCAGCTGTGGAATCCTCTAATTTTATTTCTCATTAACCACATCCTCCGAACTGGAGTCCTCGGTATATGCTAAGCAAGCGATATCAGCTTTAATTTACAGTTCCCGAGCGAAACTCCCTCGAGTCTTTCAGTTTCGATATGATGCCGGATCCAACGAAACAAATGGATTACGCCAAGGGGCGGGGCTTAGGAATTAAGGGAGGAGGAGGGGTGCATGGGGATGCAGACCACTGATTAGAGTGAGACTTTCTGGCCGGCTCATTAGCATCAAAAGTGCCCCCACAGTATGTTTTGAAAAAGGAGATTGTTTGGGCCCCCCCTAAAGGTGAGATTGTGTAAATCGTTGCCAGGATCAACTCCCTGGGCTTTTTTTTCATATGACTTTAGAGCAGAATGACTGAAAAATACCGTTGAAAAATAGTCTTAAGTGCCAGAGAAAGCTGAGGGTTGCCACTTGAAAATGGCTACAATCAGACTTCGGAAAATCATTTTTCGGGGGTGATTTGTTTTGTGGGAATGATTAAAAATGTAATTGGTTAACCCATAACAAAATTGAAAAGAAATTGAAAGATTAGGGACCAGACAATAATTTCATTTGTGTTTCTGAAATCTCAGGGATGTTGGCATGCATGTTATTGGGCCCTGAACAGTGCTGATTTTACACTTTTTCCAATGGGGCTTGAAGTAATGGACTCTACCCATGGGGCGGTTAATGCTCTCATTTCCTGCCGGAGCAGTAAACGTCATTCTGTGAGATTTTTATGGGTTGGTACGGGAATTTCCCCGAATGTTCCACGAGAAATAATCAGGATCGGTGGGATCCTGGCCGGATGACCGGGACGACATTGTTGGTCCCGTGTAGGGTGGTTGACTCCATGAAACCTGCACAAGTGTTGCTGTGTGCGTCATACGGCCATGGGTGGCCGTCGTAATCTTTGTCTTCCTCTGCATTGTGGAAAAAAAGTGAATAATATTCCCAACAAACTGAACAAATTTGTTTCATACGGAAGAGGTCCAATAATTAATGGAGGCTTGTAAAGCAGTTGGAAATATATTTCCGTGCTAGTTTTACAATATATTGAAACTATTTTTTTGGGATGAAGGTTTTTATTCTAAGATTTCCCCATCATTTTTAATAAAATATTTTCTTCACGAAAAGCATTATGAAAGTTATTCTTTTCCATCAATAGATGGAAAGAGACGACGCTATAATAGTAAGAGAGAAAGTACTTAACATAGCAGATACCACCTTCAAAAATGCTGCTGATGAAGACTCGGGTTTGGAATACCAATATTTTATTTATTAAATTATCACAACAAATAAATCGTAACTACAGAAATGGCATTACACATTTCAGTCAGGCAGAAACAAATTCATCGCGAGTCCATCGCAAGACACGGTAACACACATGTAGGCCTACGCGGACTGATAATAGTTTACAGCATTAATAAAGGACGGATTAGTGACGAGAAATTTGAGTCGCCAAATCCACATCATTCGAAAATTTTGCCCTGAAAAAAAATCGAACATTGTATGCATATTCAAATTTACTATACTACTCAGAACTACTGTATTGTTCTAATGGAATCTTCTAGGAGCCGGTCCGGTTAGTTTTGCTCGTGCAACGTCTTTATAGGGGGATATTATTGTGGCCCTTTTGTGAGCTTATGCTGTCAGTATTCCCTCCTGATTTGCTCTTTTAATTCTTGATGTAAAAGTAGAGTCACTCATAAAGTGTGTCTGGTTTGGTTCAAGTCCATCTAAAAACTTGTTCAGCTCCTGATTTGGCAGCTATATATCGCCTCGTCTAGTTGTAGTAATAGTGGTAAACCGCCCAGTTACTTCAGCAGTGGTCATGTCTTCTGTTGGGGGCGTAGTCAACCGATCTGTTTGGGAGGTAGTCGTGGCTTGGGCAGTCGTTTGCATGTCGGTGGAAGCACCTCGAGGCGTTGTTAGTGTCGTAGGCGGGGGTTGCGTCACACAGGGCCGCTCATCGCTGTCGTCGTCATCTCCGCTGTTGTTGCACTCCTCGGAGCTGTCGTCCAGGAGGGCTTGGCCAGAGTCTGAGTCGTCGTCCCGTCTGACGCGATTGCTGGTATGTCTGACGGGGCGCTGGTCGCGCAAGGGCCTGGATTCCGACCTCAGAGGCATCACCAGAGCTTTGGAAGATATCAGGATAAGTGTACCAATAAATCATAAAAAAGGTCAAAACAAACATGGAAAACAAAACTAGAATTTTGAAGCTTGGGGAAAAGTGCACAAGAGTCTGATATTATGTCATTTAATTTGATATCTAAGCAGAATGCAATGCCACCAGAAATGAAAATACCAAAAAAATAAAGCCAAACAAGAAAAAATGAAAATACAACATAGTGACAAAATAGATTTACTGGGGATTTGATTTGTGTCTCAGTAAGAAGAAGCAGAGGAATTTCTTCTCCCTTTTTATAATAAAGGAAACAAAACTGTCCTTTATTCTCTGAAGAGAAATGATCGCATTCATGAGTGTTACGTTTATTTCATGAAAATGTTTTTAAAAAAACGGTTTGTTTGTGTAAAGATTTTTCTGAACTTTTCCCGCAAATTAACAGATAAGCTATAGCGAGACAATGTTGAGAATGAGGTTGACATGAAGAAGGACATTAAATTCAAAATCTCACTCACCTAACACCGTAACGAGAAGAAGTACAGTTATACGCTGGGAAGGCGTCATAATAGATGACTACACGCTTTGTGTTCGCAGTGTTGTTTAAAAGATGTACCCGATCTTTCCAACCGATAACCAAGCAGTAAGGAGCACTGACGTACGCAAATACCAGAGCTGCTGATGTGAGGTTCAAACAGCAACCCGTTTCGGGCTTTTTATGCCTAGCTTTATGCACAGGAAAAAGCATATGGTAAAGAAATTAAACGGGAGCTACGTAAACCCAACCGGAACACTATGATTTTGCGGAATGCCGGAAACGTTACAGGATACCTGCGTTGCACACATGAAGGTGATCCGCTGTTAAAAATTACATCACTGATTTTTTACTGGTTCAAAGTGAACTTCCCAATCTGGCCAACAAAATGTCACCTCTTTCAATGTACTTTGTAGGCTTTCATCTTTTATTTTTTTCTTTTTATCTTCCATGTTCACTTGCAATGTCGCTTCCTGAAGCAAAGGAAACTCTGGCAAAGTATTTTAAAGAATATTTTCGGAGAAATGAAGCCCACCAAGCTTGATAGTTTGGCTATGGAACATCGGCAGGGTCCTAACACCACAACTTAGAAGGGGCATGAGTATCACAGGGGAGGGGCGCTGCCCCCACATACTGGAAAAAATAATAAGGGGAAAAGACAAGAAAAGAGAAAGGAAAGAACCCCTCCCCCTAAAAGAAGAGGAAAGGAGATGTCAGTCACCGATTTTGCTTGAATATACCTAGGAATGGG